TAAATAGTATCAATAAAAACTTTTTCATTTTTTATAAATGTATTTAAAATCAGTTCAATTTTTTGATAGTTTTATGTTTAAAAAAATTATTCGTTTGAATAGTCTCGTAAAGGAAATGAAATTTGCAGAAACAAAACTTATTTATCAAATATATGAAGGAAGTATTATTACAATGAAAACAATTTTATGGTGATCTTATCTTTATAAGTGTGCTATCGTGTGTTATCGGTATAAGTGTGCTTTCAAGTAGTTGCGTATGAAGTTATGACTCGGTATTTTGTAACGAAGATGAAAATTACAAAATATATGTGAAAAAAATTCTTTAATTTTCATCTTTGTACTCGTTTCTTATCCGGCTGCATACTCATAACCACTCACAGAACAATGAAGTTTTGAAGAGTGAAAATCTTGTATTTTCTGCTGTGGTATACCAGGATCCCTTAGCCAAGGCCGCCAGTCGTATGTATTTCCACTCGAATATGAAGTAGCTGCCCGTACGGTAAAAATTTGTGTCCGGATGCACCATGAGATACCGTTTAAAAACAATAAAAATGTCACCCTAGTAATGGCCAGTATGTGGTCTGAATATAGCAAATACATGATCATTTGTGCCTAGTGTTTCGTCTGGTTGATAGCCACTGCCTGCCGGGTTTGACTGCAATAAAATGGACGCAGCAGGAGTTTCGCATGAACACGCTAGGATACTGTTGATCTCGTTCGCTTGAAAAAATGGTTTCATTTCGCTTTCTTTACTTCGAACATTATAAGTAGCTTCCTCAACGGTTAGATCATCATTTTTTCTGATCGGGTTGCCAGGTTGCGGCTTGATAAATTCAAGTTGACTAATAGCTTGAATGTATACTGGTGCGACTGCCAGGCTGCCTCTGTGGACTCATGGCGCCCAACAAGTCGACGAATACGCGGATGCTCCAAAGTAGCATGTGCGGTAAATTTTGCATTTTTTTCAGATGGTGCATATGTCCACGAGACATCACATGACCATGAACTAAAACCGATTCAAAGATCTGTGGATTACAACGATGTACTGGCTGTAGCGAGCGAATCCAGTTTAAAATTTCGTCTAATACCTTTAAATCGTTTTTTCCTAAATGTCGATAAATATTTTGAACAATTTGTTTTTGATTTTGAAAGAAATTGATTTTGCTGTTCAAAGCAAAATATCTGGCAACATCTAGAAGTGCTTCTGAAGTGTTGTGACGATATCTTACGTCCAAATCCAAAAATGGGAGTAAGGCCGCCAAAAATAAGCCCCTGACTCTCCGAGCTCATGGTGAAGTATAAATAATTGATGAGCATCACTCATTAAGTAGGCCTAAACGTTACATTCACTGTAATTTTCTCAGACGTAGGCGGAAAAAAATAGAAATAAGTCGTCTAAGTCGGTTAAGAAGGCTTCTTCAAAGAGCACATTTAATATCAGTTTTCGGAGAAAGCAGCACTTTAGTATTCGAAAAAACCAAAATCGGAGTAAATCATCCCTCAAGTTTCTCCGAAATTCGGAGTAAATCATTCTTATCTTTTCTCAAATTACGAGTAAATCGTTCTTGATTTTGTTCAAAATCGGAGTAAATCGGTGTTTATCTGTTTTGCTGTCTTTGGTGATTTGTACATACTGAATATATTGGTCACATGAGTAAGGGGTCAAAGGGCATGTTTCGTTGAACGGATGTTTCTCGTTTTCTATGTGCACCGGAGGGGAGAGTCTTACAACCTTTAAATGCGTGTCAGTCAGTCTGTCCAAACATCAACTATTGGCCAGTGTTGTGAAAAAGTTTTCTTCACTATACGAAAAAGTCTTTTTTCGTATAGTGAAAAAGTTTCACCCACTATTGGTTAAACGAAAAATTATTGATCTGAATAATTTTTCGTTTAACCAATAGAGGATGAAACTTTTTCACTATACGAAAAAAGTACTGATAAGACTAAAGGTTTTTTTTTTCATTTTTTTAAGATAAGATTTTTCTTTGTCATTTACTCAAAGCGCTTTAAAGTATTTCGGTTTTTTCCACAGACGATGACGTTTTCTTTCTCTTTCCATCTGCCAAAAAGGGGAGGAAAGTGTTGCTTTTTATTGTAAATAAACAGAAAAGAATGTACAAAGATGAAAATTAAAGAATTTTTTTCACACGTATTTTGTAATTTTCATCTTCGTTAGAAAATACCGAGTCATAACTTCACACGGAACTACTTGAAAGCACACTTATACCGATAACACACGATAGCACACTTATAAAGATAAGATCACCATAAAATTGTTTTCTTTGTAATAATACTTCCTTCATATATTTGATAGGTAAATGAAGTGCTTACTTACGATGTATATGATAAAATATCGACAATAAATTACTTTTAATGATTACCTAAAATGTAATAAATTGTATGCAATAAATTTGACTTTGAATTTTAAATTTGAGTCATCGAAACTTCTCAAATGACACTCTGCTTATCTATTGGACAATACTGGCCAATAGTTGATGTTTGGACAGACTGACTGACACGCATTTAAAGGTTGTAAGACTCTCCCCTCCGGTGCACATAGAAAACGAGAAACATCCGTTCAACGAAACATGCCCTTTGACCCCTTACTCATGTGACCAATATATTCAGTATGTACAAATCACCAAAGACTGTTGGTTTTCCGATGTAAATGTGATAGAAGAGTCGTTTGGTGCCGAAAGTGGTTTGGCTGACTTTCCATGGAGCCCGTAGTCGAATTCGAAGAGATCATCCTAATCTTCTTTTATAGGGTTTCTTGAAAGGTAATCTGGTAGACAGTTGTAACGACCTTGTATGTGAATAACTTGTTCAATATTGAATTCTTGTAGCAGCTGGGATATTCTTTGAACCCTTTTGTTTTTCTGGTTCTTCTTGCACATACTACAAAGGGGACAGTGATCTGTGTAGATAATTATACTTCTTCCGAGAAGGTACGATCTCATGCGATGGATTGACACTCAAATCGCCAGAGCTTCTTTCCTGCTAGTATCGTAACGCTTCTGCGTTGGTGTGATAAGTTGAGAGTGGTAGTACAAGTTTTTCGATTCGCTCGATGGAAAGTCAGCCAAACCACTTTCGGCACCAACCGACTCTTCTATCACATTTAAATCGGAAAACCAACAGTATTCTTCTCGTAACAAAACGGGCCGTTCGTCTCACTCGCAATCTCTCGTCGCACCAGTAACTACTAGATCTAAATCTAAACAACAACAGCCCGTAACTACTACCACCGGTTCATCTGATTTTTCTCAAGAACTCGATACTCCGCATGAACTGAATATCATTTCCGACCCACTTCGATACACAAGTAATCACTTCGACATAACTCTGCTGAGAGGAGAACAAGAAAAGGATCCCATCTTACAAGAAAAGATTAAGGAGTTAAGAGAAAAATCAAATAACTCTTCCTATGAATTGCAAGACAACATGCTTTACAAACTGCTACCACCTCATCGAGGAGGAATAAATTCAAAACTTGTCTATTTGCCTGCCTCGATGGTACCTTCGGTCCTTCGTGCTTACCATGATGATCCAACTAATGGAGCTCATTTTTCTTTTGGCCGAACGTATAGTAAACTCAGACACACATACTGGTGGCCTGGCATAAAACATAGCATCGAACTCCATATAAAATCATGCCTTCCATGTCAGCAACATAATATATCATGTCAAAAGAAACCCGGAAAATTGAATCCGATCGCTCCACCAGAAGGATCGCTTTCCAGTTAATTGGTATTGACTTTTGTGGCCCATTTAAACGTATCCCGAACGAAAAGCCTACGTTCTCTGTATCACGGATTATTTTACCCGTTGGATCACTGCAGTAGCTCTTCCAAATTGTTCAGCACCAATTGCCGCTCGAGCTATATACGAAGAATACATTTGTAACTATGGAGTTCCTTCAGTTATTCTCTCTGATCAGGGAACACACTTTCACAATCAACTGATGAACACATTATCCCATCTCCTCGGAATTCATCATATCTATTCGTCTGCTTTCATCCACAAACTAACGGCATGATAGAACGTTTCAATGCAACCTTCGTTCCCCAACTAGCTAAATTGCAAGATCAAGAGCACAATAACTGGGACGAGTTTTTACCTGCCGTTGTCTTTGCCTACAATAGTGGAGAACACGCTACCACCAAATATTCTCCGTTCGAACTACAATTCGGTCGAAAGTCTCGTTTGCCTCCCGAACTCCCTCATGAGCATTTGACTTTCACCAAACCTCAAGACTATTATCAAACTCTGAGAAAAAAATCTTAAAATCTATCATGAGCATGCGCGAAAAAACATTCTGAAACAACAACAGCTCTCTAAACAAAGATACGATAAGAAACATCATCCTACGTACTGGGTCAAAGATCAAGACTCCGATGAAGAATATAGTCAATGACATGAGATCCATCTTAGGAGTTTAATCTGGTCTTCAAAAACACTCATCTTTCGTCTCTCCTCACTGCCATCGCTTTAGTTTGTCTGCGTGGTTATTTTGATGCTTTTGTACTTTATTTTATTTGCCGGCCGACGTGAAAAGCCCACAGATGCTTTAAGTTCAAAGCGTCGTCGTGAATAATTCTCGATTAAACTCAGGGCGCCACTGGGTTCGGTTTTTGAGTTATAGAAGCAGGCCTTGAATCGTTCTTCTGGGTCCAGCACGAAAGATGGAACCTTTTGATTACATTTACTCTCAGAGTCAAAGACGAGTGCCCTGCGACTTCATCTTCGCACTGGGTCTCAAGTCTCTTAATCGTACCGTCAATAATGAATATAAACGTCGCAAATTTCCCCCTTTTGAAATTCCAAAATTGAATTATGACACAGTCTTCGTTTATCGTGAAACACCTATCAGACGTCTCGATGAATTAATCAAACTCGTTCTCTCTACAACCGTCTACTCCGTGGATACCGAATCTGAAATGGATTTCAAACAAAAGACATCACATCCTGCACTTATTCAAATTGAAACGGTCTCTGCTGAACATAAATCAACCACTATTCTAATTGAAGTAGCATACTTACCACCACCACGTTCACCGCTCTTTCAAGCGGCTGTGCTCTTTGATATTTAACTCCGGAAATACATTACGGTCGTGGGGAGATCTAGAAAAAGAACTTCAACCATTTGCCGTCTTTGATCTCTTCGACGTTTGTTCGATCTCGTCTCCCGCCAATATACAAGCTCGTTCCAAAGTTTGGTTCGAAGAAACCCATCCTTCTTTGAGGGACTTGGGTTCTTCTAGTTACCCGGCTTATGACGAAGAAAACGGCGACGGATTAGTCCTTTCCGCGTGGGCGGACGGTCCCGAGTTCCTGCCGAAACTGAAAAACCCGCATACTAATCCAAAGGATGAATGGAGTTTACAAGTAGCCATTGAGGCCATTTTTCAGTTGTTCTTGGACAAACAATACACAATATCTAAATGGCGATGTGGACTTGATGAATATCTCTCAACACACATTCATCCAACGTTAGTCGGTCCTGATCGTACGAACGACATTCACACTCAACTCCGACGTCGTGCCAATCTTATAAATTATGCCATCCGCATCAGCCGTTACACAACTTGTTAAATATATGAATGAACATCCGGCGAGGCGTGCATCTCCACCACAACGTATCGTTGAACTCATCGACCACCTTTCATCCTCTACGACACAAGACCCCGTATTAACACCATCACTTACACAACACTCACTACTCGAAGATTATTCCTATCATGAAGCAATTTCAGCACGAACACCGGTAGCTTCTCCTCCGGCACCGCTCATCGCTTCTCTAATCGTACAATCAGAAGGACTGATTGTAAACTCTTCAAATTCACAATCATCGATTGCTCCTCCTCCTAAAAGTAAACATTCGCAACGCTCTGCCGATGGTCGTACGCATCAAAACTATTTGCGATCTGTTAGACGACACCACCGCCGTTACAATCACTCAATTATTCGACCACTTCACCTTCATTATACTCGACGATAAATTTCTATTCGCCGTCGGGGATTGAAATATACACACTTCCGCATGGACACACGCCGTCGTCAACTCATCATCGGATTCAAAGAACGTGTGCACAAAGCTATTTTTAATCAAGCAATTGGCATCAAAATGTTTAAATATCTCAATGAACAATGATCAGCAATGACAATAACCTCAGCCATCAGAGTTTCTGAGTGGCATCTAGAGACAGAATAATATCCTCTTGGCAGCTAGCAGGTGACAGTCTATGTACTCTTATATTTATCGTGTGCTTTTTGTTAAAGTAAGAACGATTTTTCAACGTCAATTTGTTTGTATTTATACTTTTTCTCACATTTTTTATATTGTTATTCAGAAGTAATTAGATAGGTGGGTAGATTCTCATGGTTTTTCTCCTTTGTCCTCTTTTGTCTGTTAATTGTTGAGTACTTATATCATATATTGACATTCTTTGACTTTTTTTACGTTTCTTATAAAACTAAGTATATTTAATATACTTGAAAAACATTTTTGTAAAATCATTTTACACAAGAAGCGAGCTTTCGATACTTCACAGTATCATCATCAGGCTAATATGGCTGTGAATTTAGAAGAGAGATGACTATACTTACTAGTTAAAACAGCGGAGAACGAAAATACTAGAAAAACTTAAACATAGAAAAATATGTAGTATAGAATCGAGTGACGGTTACATTTTTCTGTTCTGGACTGTTATTTTCTAGACTGTCTAATCGAATATCACTGTCTTTAATGAAATGTCATTGTAGGCTAGCTTTTTTTGTTCGTGCGTCAGTAGTGTCTCTTTTATTTGTCTTTTAATTTCATTTTTTTCATATGCCAGTATACAGGGTTCGTCTAGATTTACAGTGTGATTGTTTTCAGTGACATGTACAGATATTTTTGAAAACAAATCATCATTTTCTATTTTCTTCTCATGCTGATTCATGCAGATAATAAAGGAAATATTCGCCTTAATTTTGGAAGGAAAGATGAGTGTGAGTTAATATATGAAGTGCCACGTGCTCACAACAAGTTTGGAATTATTTTCGATCGGACAGCTTCCCATTTACCGTATGCCATAAGAGACTCTGAAACTGTGAAACTCTAAAGATTTCGGAATTCAGACGACAGTGACATTGCACAGTTTTACTGAACTTCTGAGATTCTGAAATTGAGAAATTCCGGATATTTCTTAACTCATTACATAAATAAAACATTTAGGCGTCTTGTTATCTTTTCGGTCCTTCATTTATTGTCAACTCATTTTAATCTTTTCCACTATCTCACTTTTAGATAATCAAGTTACAAGTGTTTCAGGCGTGGCTGGAAGACAAGTAAAACATGATACACCTGAACCAATGGAGGATAGTGAGCTGAAAAGAACAAATCTTTCAACTGCTAAATTCACTTTTCATTTTAGCGATGAATCAAGATCTTGAGGTACCTGTTCCTCAAGTATACATTATGGGTCTATCCCGGAGTATCTCAAGGGAACAAGTTTATCAGGTTTTCTTGAGATATGGTTTGGTCAGAGTAAGTAAATCGTTCATAGTTTAGCTCTCACAAAATCAAAAAAAAAAAATTTTTTTCCAGAAAAATCCAACAACAAGTCGGAGATTTACGTTTATCCGAATCTGGTTCGTCAATGTGCTTGTGCAACTGTGTTATACACAAGTACACAAGATGCAACATTGGCGATATGTTCGCTAAATGGTAAATCATTCTTATCCGTTAGTCGATAACTAATTTTGATATATTTAGGTAAATGTGTTCACGAGTTCTCGTACACTTTGATAAACTTGAATTATAGTCGTCGTTATTATCAAAATTACGTGTTACGACGACAACCACTACCACCACCACCAAGACATCAAAAACATCAAGACAACTAAAGTGCCAATAAAATGCCAGGTTTATGATAATTTTTTTTTCTTATATCCAGGTTTCTCTGTTTTTTTTCTTGTTATTAATTTTCACATATTTTCGTTTATTTGATTTTCTGTTTTTGAAATACATTTGATCAAGCCACTCAAGCATCTTTTCTTAACTAGAGCAAACCACTTTCATTATCGCATCAACTAAACTGAGTACACAGAGCCTCGAGAGAGATTTTAGACAAGATGTGTATTCCCATAGATAGATCATATGTGGACAATATTCTACAAGGACATATTACATTCAAATCTTAAAAAGTCACCTATCTTTCTGTGAAAAGACATCGTATATTTAATATTTTTGTTAAACTAATGAAAAATGTAGACTTATTACTAGTGTATCTACCGATAGCAAGCGTATAACAAGTATACATTTTCACAATGGCTTTACTATTTCGTTTTCGCTGTTTTTAATTTTGCTCATATACACATTAGATACTGGTGTCATTTATACTGGACTGAAAAATGTTTTAGTACTGGGTATTTCCCATTATATGAATGATGAAGCTGACACTTTTTCAATATGTACATTGTGTTCGATGACAAAAATTTCTTTTGAAAATATAAGGCACCTTCTTACTGCTCGGTGCTGTTTAGCATAAAACAACAGAAAAAGCAAAAACTTCATCTATGAGTCATTTTCATGTAAGAAATGTCCAAACATTCGAATTAACTGTCTGGAATCTTTTATGGTTAGTATACACCATATCAGATGTGAGGTGCCGGCAATGCGAAATTCAGGTAAAAAATTTTTTTTGTCGTTTTTTTTACATCATTTGATAGAGTGAGAGTTGCTGATCACGAAAAACAACTTTTTACCTTACACAAATATCTTTTTCAGGTCGGAAAATACGAAAAAATCGAAGTATGTCGTATTTTTCAAAAA